TATGTTATCATAGTATCATGTACTTCAGTTACGTCATACGTAAAAACGTAAATCTAAACTCGTGAATAACTACGAAAAGTGAGATCGATGAGTAGTTTACTCAGACTGAAATTCAGATTTAGCAGTATGTTGAGAGGATCATTTTGGACTATCATTTGCCCGATTACTTGGAGAAAGAGTCAGTCTGGCGCTGAGTGCGCAACATTAAACCGAAAACACACCGATCTGCGAATTCATACTCAGTGGGTTAGGTCAAAATGCTTTGGGAAGGAGACAATGGATAGGTGGAGTACAGATTGGAAGCAACGGGGGACTTGTTTTACGAATAATCAACTCATGACATCCGAAAGAGACAATGCGACAATATGAGATATTATGCGTTAATACAGTATTCAGACTGCTGAATCACATAAGCATCCAAATCATAAAAATCAGGCCGGAATGCGACAAATTTGACATCCTATCAGAAAATAACTAGCGATAAAATAATTTACAGTGTTCGTCTGGTAAGCCCCTGGAATTGTTTTATCTGACACTATTCGCCAGATTGGTTTGCACCAGCAATCACCTAACGCGGACGTGAGACCTATGTGCATTTCCGCGCCCAGGGGACGTAATTATCCTAGAGATAATTGACCCGGCATCCTTGGTTTATAGGCCTATACGGTTCGTCGGTGAACGGTAATTCGGTTGTGTTCTGTTTCAGCCCAAAATGTTGTTGGCGGTACCATGTGTATAGATACGGTTGATTGAGAGCAAATTAATTACACCGGAAAGAACAAGGTACAAGCAATTTCCATGAAGGTGCAAGAGTGGTCAATCAGTGAACTGCCTCGGGAAAGGAGAACAAAATGAAGGGTACTTGCCTCTGGTAGAACTCTAAAGCACGACCCCCGGCTTGTTCGAGTGATAGCTTTCGTCAATTGAACACCGCTGTCAATCAGGCGCAAATGAAAGACGATCCTCGAGGTAGTTGGCATAAAGCCCAATTATTTTGGGATTATAACCAGCAGCACCTTTGGGGATTAAATGAACCTGAACACCAAGGCAATGTTCTATTTGTCTTGCATTATCCAGCTCATTTCTTCCTGTTGCTGTCTGCACAAACGGAGCTAATTGCACTATACTTGTTGGTCATGTCCGGCTTTAGTACAGGTATTTAAAATTGAATTCATCATTAACTCCGTTGAGAGGAGCACTCAGACTGTTTGATATACGAAACATTCAAGTGTTCTCATTTTGATCATGACGAGTAAAGTTATTCAGGTTTTTTCATTAGCTACTTCTCAATTTGAATTCGGATATTTCATCGATTCACTGCGTTCCAGTTAAACGGCGCACTCGAATGAAAACAACACTACCAAGGAATAAAACGTGGCCCATAAAGTACAGGGATGAAAGCAGAACAACGAAACGTACTGAAGATGTCATCTGGATTGACGGCTAAACGTTGGTAAACAAATTGATAACCTCGGCGAAAGGATAAAAGATTTCAGTTCACCCGATTTAGGGAAACTGGTTTTCAATGATTTTTCTATCACAAATTGTATATCAAATTGCGGCGGTTATTACATAACCAGAACAAAATCTAAGCAATATACACTCCAAAAGGCTGTATTCATTGCAATTGTTCACAATAGCCTAAGATTCTAGTCGATTTATTTTGCGAAATAGAACAAATTACCCAGATAGTTTCATATTACGAATCTTTTTGGTTAAACGCCGTCGTAAAACAAAGACATTTGTAAAGAAAAGAACGAATGTCATGTAAAAACAAAGTGATAAACTGCAACTGTACTGCGCTACATAATCCCTAGCTAATGCGTGTAGGTAATCAAAGATATTGTGCACCGAAAGACGTTCAGAAAACACCACACATATGATAAGTTGTAAAAGTATATGCCGATAGTTCAAATGCTCTTTGCGTATTGAACTAGGCGTTGGTCAAACTAGTATTATACAAAGCTATGCTCAAGGGCCCAGGCCAGCTTCACCTTCTCAAAGTGGAATGAGTTTAGAAACAAACCTGAAATTATTCAACAGAGTCGTTTCATTAATACGACATGAAATCACTGATGTGTCAGAGCTGACCCGGAGAGCCGACTTCAAACACCCTTGATAAACGGCTGTCCTAAGCTATCTTGTTCAAAGCTGTCATTGGAAAAGTACATTTCTAAACACTGTTTCTATCCAGCTTACAATGATAAATAGAACAGATTAAATCATTCAACATAATTCACAGGGCTACTCCGTGAGATGAGGAGCCGCCAGACAATTTAATTGGTATTATTTTTCTAATTCCCTAAGATAAACCCATGAATGATCAATCGTAATAATTTTTGAACGAAACTTCAGCTCAAGTTCTTCTGGTGCTCACTTTGTTACCTGTACTATTCTCAGTGCCCCTGGTAGATTTTTTCAGCAAAGACACTTTTACTCTCACCTCTCCCCCTGTTTGTTTGGTGGAAGCCAGTCACCAATGATTTTTTATTTTCCCGGAGAAATGAGAAGTGTGTTGTAGATCAAAGAATAAGATGAGCGCATGCAACGTGTTCCGTCGTTTATGAACCAGGTTGAGATTGTTGGGAAATTCCATTGTGAACAGACTACAAATAGGAGCCACTATCGCTTTTTCAGTTAGTTAATTTATTTAATTGCAGATGTAACTATCAAGATATGAGTAAACTTTAACCTATTTTGGACAGCTTCCTTATTATCTGACCCGAATAGGAACATGCCAACAATATAGAGTAGGACAACACACATGTTCACAAGACAGAAATGTGTCAGGTAACTGAGAGTACTAATTGACCTACACTGAACCGAAAATATCTTTCTTCAGTTTTTGACAGAGATTTCCCAATAATGAGTATTGGATATTCAGTTGTCGTTTATATGTTGATGTTTGAGTACCAGAATAATTAGCGTTTCAAGCGGATAGATGCATTTTACAGTTGTTGCTAACAGATGAATTTTATCTGTCTTAGTACTGAAGTGAATTATTCGTTTATCATGTATTTTCAAACAAATCTCGAAATTAAAAGAGAAACCTCTGAGAACGTTTTTGCAAATTTGCAATGTCCCCATAAATGAAAGCACATTTATTCCAGTAGGTTTTATGATCCAAATTATAACTTTTTATTAAAGTGATTGAACAATCTACCAGAACTTCGGAATATTAATATTCAATTAAGATTTACACAAAAACCGTTTTCACATCACAAAGTGGCAACAGAGTTCATCGGCTGTGAGATTCTGAATGCATTGCAAGTTGATAGCGCCTAATGATTTCGGGACTGTGGATACGCAGAAATCTTCCTGCATACAGAGAAAAACTAAATACACCAATGCTTATAAGTCAAAAGTGGAATACTGTTTTCACTAATAAATACCCCAATTCAAATTTCTTGTGGTCACTACCGGTTGTTAGGGTCAACAAACCCCAGGTTGTTCGTAATCATTTTCGTTTGGTCTGATCGGCAACCAAGTGTGACAGGCTCTGTCAGTGATAAGAATGTCCGACCTCCGAGTAGAACACGGTCGGTTATTTGACAAGCCTATTATGATATGCGTTCCTTTTCAGCCGGTCACTCACCAATGGGGGCTGGTTGAGCGGAATGGGGTGTGCATTAATGACAGAAACCTAAAAATTCTATTAGTAAGCCGGTAGTTAGACACGCCCTGTGTTGTCCCAAATTCAGAAACAAATGTGGGCATTTCCTGTTCATAAAACGAATGTGACTACCCACTATGGTTGTGATACTCGTAGAATTTAGATTAAAAGTTGAGGAGTTCAGTAAAAAGGTTTCGACTCCAGTTTTAACAATAACAAACCGTAGAGTTGTTCCAATCACATTAATTACAATAAACCACTGATGTTACGTGGTGAATAGGATCACCTTGATAAAGGTTTCCAGGGGCACGATAAGCTAAGCGTGAATCAAGAGAATCACTACCACCGAACATGGGCAATGAAGATAATTCATCTGTTCTGTGCACTTACTTCGCTGATAATAAAAGGCTGAGCTGAGAGATGAAATACGAATTCTTTTCTTCAAAGGTTTTGGGCATTTTCCGAAACAGAAAACAAACTGAGTATGACAGAAATTGTGGTAAACACTATCTCCATGGATCAGTTATGCTGTTATTGGTTGACATTGCATACGGGATGCGGAGGACAGAGCGTTCACCCAAATTATCCAATAAAACAGTTTACATAGTAAAAGAAATAGTAGATTCTGAAACACCACTATCAGTTGATACAATGCACGACAAAATACGTTAGACGAGAACAGACTGCAGTAATCTGTCGCTTTCCTTGAATATGTTTTCAAGTGACATGATTCCTTTCAGTTATTATCACAATAGTTACAAGAAGCAGATTAGCCTTACACATTATTTCATTACTTAACAGTAGCTGCCTTCGCAGAGAGAACTCTTAATAACACACAATGGTAAAAAAGTCAAATGCAAATAGTTACTATGATTAATTGTAGTAGTAGTTGTAGTAGCAGCAGCAGCAGCAGAAGTACCCTTATAATGTCCGATGTCAGTCACCAAATTAACATATCTTGTGAACATCACATAATTTGCTCAGGTTTGGAAAACTCACCAATAGTGTTCAGGAGCCCTGACAACATAGGTTAGCTTATATAGGTTCTTTGGTGGTGTGTACTTCGCTGATAGGTATTACGACTAATTTCAAATTAACCCTATTCGGACCGGTAAACAGTAGAGTATTTGTGTCGCACCCCAGTGACTTTATGCAATCAGGGATTGAAGTATGTAAATAATCCGTCAATGGTGAAATAAACCAATTTTGTCCAATATCTTCATTTTTATATTTTTTGAATTTTTCATACAAAACTAAGCTATTAACCTTTGTAGTTATTCAGTTTTAGGTTCGCAGTTTTATTCAGCTGTATTCATTCCCTTGATGCACATTGTATGCATTGAACTGTGTTACTTCACCAAACTGATGATGAAACCTAGGTAGAGTGCTAGTTGACTGAGGATCATGGGGAAAGAGTAAATGATTATCAATGGCAAATGTCAGTTTCTCGCGTACTGTTCTCCTGCTTTCCATTCACAAACCAGCGGGTAGTGTCTGTTTCCAGCTTTGGCCTGGTACTATGAAACACATAATCTTTAGTAAGCTCATATCTTTGATCTAGGAAATACTTGTTCAACGGTGTGCAATCAACATTATTCTCGAAAAAGATAGCTCAAATGATTGACTGATCGGAGAAACTCACAGTGCATTATTTTGATACTGTTCAACCTTTTAATTTGGCTTCATGTAGAAAACGCTGACTCTGCCGTTCGTATTTTCAGTCAAATTCTCAGGCACAAATACTTGTCGCTACTTCAAGTGGGAAAGGGTTGGGTTGAGTTAACGTCTCGTAGGTTCTACATTGTTTTGCTGAATTGAGTTACCACAGACAATCTCTCAACGATTCTTTACTTTCTTTTTCTTCAATTGATGTGTGAACTTAGCGATGTATGATTGTTGTTTATGAACAATATAAAATCATTTGGAATTAGCAGAATATAAGATCTTTTGTCTGTATTTTCTTGTGGATTCGGGTTGAATTCAAGGGAACTTGAACACCGATAGCAATGGGTTTCGATTTAGTAACAGTTTCCTTCATTGAGGTTAGTGGGTGTTGAAACGGACAAAATGCTTTACTGAGCGCATGTAAAAAGGGCAACTTATAAACCCACCTAGGGATATACGTTCTTCACCGGTTGGATCTTTCTTTGTCAGTGATCGTTTTTTCTTCTTCTTCAGAGCCGTATCCTTCAACTCAATGCTATCAACACCGCCATTTGTCAGTCCACTGGCATTGACACAACATGTGCAAATACTACACCAGCCTGAGGAATCTAATGTTGAGCGGGGTTCGGGATGTATTGTGTCCCGTTGCGTGGAATGTGCGCATGGAGTGGATGATTTTACCGGCGGTGACGGAGCTGGACCTTTTTTTCGGGCAGTTAAACCATCACCTTCTCTCCTGCTCTGGGCGCTGCCAGCAATAACACTAGTGCTTTCCGAATCGTTTGCCTGGTCGTATGAATGGGTTCGAAAGTGAACCGTTTTCACTGGATCGAACATTGGATCAGAATCTTTGGAGAGTTCGGCCGAAGCTTTTCCGTACGTGTGAACTTTTGCTTTCATTTGTAGTTTTTGCCAAAATTTATATTTTCTCTGATAAATAATTGCATCCATGTAGTGCGCGACACCCCGAACAGTCCGTGTGACAGTGGAAGGAGTTGCAAAGTTTACCTGCATAACACCTTGCATGATTCGCTTGACCTGAAATCCAGAGTAGTTCTGAAAAGAAAATAGAGGAAAGCCGTTAACTTGAGGGAATACTGAGTGTTTCGAATTCGTATTCACATTATGATTACCAAATAAATTTGCATTCAAAAACGTAAGAGTCTACTTAAAAAACTACAATAAATGAACATTGAAAACCATTTTTTTTGCAATAAACACTGTCATCCGTTCAAGTGTAAATCTAAGACTGCTATCAATCAGTTTTTTTCACCGTTGATTGCGGCTGAAAAATTTATATTGTAAATAGTTTGCCCAATGCAGAAAGTGGTATTGCAAACACAAAGTACTACCTTTGTTTTAGGCTTGTTTATTGCTAGTATAACATGTGAATAATTGTAGCCAGATAAGAATATTGGAATGGTACGATATTTGCATTTAGGATAAGATCCCTCGATTCCTTTGTCCTCTGTCAGATACCAAACAAATGAACCAATTTATTCACAGTAAACTAGAAGTACCTGATTATTTTCCATCAGAAAGATTCATTTATGCAATAGAATAAACGACCCTCATCATTATTCACTTTTGTGAAAGCAAGCATAATTTAGTCCCAGGTTACAATGAACTTGACGCATGAAGTTTCACTTTCGCTAAATTTAGAGTCTCTAATTGGCAATCAAAAATTAATAAGCAAAAAGTCGATTGAGAAATAGGGTGTGGGTACTGAATTTGCCTAATTCACTATTCTGTATGGGTTTACATCCCAGAATCGGAACTTCGTTCAATCTTTTTGGAAAGTAAGAACAAAAACGTGTAAGTCTTACCCTGTTGTTTTGAATACGGTGAATGTAGCGATTGAAATACTTCGCAGAACTCGTAAATTTCTCAGCAGGCATTCAGATGTTCCTAATCTGAATGAGACACCGTGTCTCTATTGTTCTCCTCCAGGTATTATCATAAAATCTGCCTGGCGGAACTTGCACTCAAGGGATTGCTAGCGTTTCTCACCTTTTTCACATTATATCATGATAAATTTTATTAAGGGAATCATAAACAACAGAGAAGCATTAATTCTTGTTATTTTCGCCATAAAGTTTTATTAACTTGAACGGTATTTGTCAAAAACAGGATGGGTAGCCATTTCATAGTTTTATCTACTTCTCGATGTGTAACAAAACTCATCTGTCTCAAAAAATGGAAGGGGAAAAAACAATGAAAGTTAACCTTTTTATTAGATCAGTGGTGAATTCCAAGCACGTTCATAGTTGTTTTTCAGCACACACACCTATGTGTACACAACAGCAGACTGGGTGGACCCCTTAGACACAATAACCTGCTGTTGAGTGGTGGAAACCGGAAACGAAATCCTCGGGAATTAAATTGACAAACCAGATAAGGCTCCGTTCAGTCAGACTCAAATATTGCCTAAAATGTTGGTCATTGGTTATGTAGCTTACGCCTAAAAACTCAGCTCATAATTTAAAGATTAACCACTCCTACTGGAGGTTCCAAGCTTGTAGGCTGTTGACTCGCAAACACAAAAATCCGATTCGCCACTAAAATAATAGAACACAGTTGTCTGGAATTTGTCTACTAGTGTTATAATTCCAGAAGGCGGTGCTGTTCAAGGACAGTCGTTTATTGAAGAGTTCAGATGGGACATTAGCACTTTGGCATACATAACACAAAAATATAACCCCAAACATACCCTCGCAGTTCCCGGCAGCACGACGAGTAATGAACGTACCAATCGACAGTTATTCTCTGAGATATAACAATTTACCCTCTGTGGTCTTGTTAATTTTTGATTGTTGAAATAAATCACCAACTATGTTACTTACTGCTCACAAGTGAGTGGTATCTCACAACACTAGAAGAAGTCATACGAGTTTCGGAACGTAACCATTTTAAAATTTGTGTATCCGTTTGTGTGTGCAAACAGCACGCATTCACACTCACCTGAAGCAGTCTCCAAATAAGGCATGGAAGAAAAAATCCGGCTGCTTGTAATCCCAACACAAACGTGGCCCACTGATAGTAGCGAACCACATTCTTCCGTTCCTCGGGTGGGGGCAATCTGGCCTGAACATCGGAAAAATAAGTATTGGTGACCCAACAATAATGCTCAGCATACTCTTCCCAACTGCGAGAGAATTCCTGTGGTATCCAGCATTGAAGAGGTAAATGAGCTGAAAGAAATTAGAAAGCGATATATGAATATTGATTCATTGCAAACAAACTGTGGCTGATAGGAATGATTGACTTGGTAGACGATTGGATCAGTCAGTCATGTAAACAATTTACTCAGCCTCTGAGAGATGCACTAACGACGTCGTACTCAGGGAGATTTCACCCAAAACGACAATACTGAAAGACAAGATAACTAATTAGCAAAACGATGGACCTTATTTAGGGATGGAGTAGTTTCATCTCCAGTAGGTAACTTCGTAACTGCGGTTTTTACTAAGCCTTCCGAACTGAACGCCTCATCGGTTACTACAGTGATGCCGCTAATGCTGATGTTGCTGCTGCTAATGATGATGTCCTTAAAAGTAATGAAAACAAACCAACCGTTACATCTAGGCTCATTTGAAGCAATTTACAAATAAGGCATGGAAGAAAAATCCCAATTAGGCTACTGAACTTTTCATAAGCTCAACAAAGGACATCAATCTAACAAACAACAATTTGAACAATTGACCTTGCCTTAGAAGTTCATTCGGTGGGCTCCGGTGAGTTATAAGGTAAAACCTATCGCGGCAGTCAGTTTACATGCTACCTGGTGGGTGTCATATGCCTCTGTAAGTAGATAGGGTGATTCGAATGTGAAAATATCAGTGCTATCGTTGTGGCCTCTTGGCTCGGCTGATACAGAGTGCACTGGGCAAACTCCCACGGGCGCTGCTGAACTTTTCACAACTTAAACATCAATTCAAGAGGTAAATGGTCCTGTAGCAAAATTTTATGATAAATTCTGTCGTCAACAAAAACAAAAAATGTTAATTGGGAAACCTCTGAGGCATTGTTCAACTGTTCCAATATTTTGGATGATGCGGTATTAGGTATGTAAATTGAAGCTTCTTTTCCGACTAATATTGAATCCATCAAAGAAAAAACAGGATAGCAGTAAATGATCACAAATCGAGCTTTGAAGAGAAACTCAACAAGGTAATTTAACTACACAGTTTGATAGAAACAATTCAATCAAGTTTGAAAGAAAGTCTGGACATGTGAATGAAATCTAATCATCGAACAAACCACAGTGAGATAATGGAGAACCTCAACCAAACTGTTATCGCGCATTAGTTACTACCCCATTGGTTGTCTCTGAATAGCTTACTGCTCTTGTGAGAAACACTTACTTTAGTAAGTTTAACTGACCGAAAAAAGAATGAAAATCCTCCAAGTTATTCAAGTGTCCTCCGCCTTTCCCGTAACGCAGTTAGCAAAAGTGATTAGCGAGTCGAACGAAGGAAGATGATTGAAATACGCTAAGTTAAAGTTGACAACCAACTAACCGTCACGTGAACAAAAAGCACTCCTATAAAAGGAACAAAATAAACATAATCCAAGTAGGAAAAACGAATTTTAGTGAAATGAATGTTTTTCAGTAGGTCATTCTTAAGTCGTCAATAAGTTACATGGTTAACCCTGGAAAACGGATCACACAGTTGGAAACAGTTGTCAATAATCATAGGTAAGTCTGTTGCTGGTATCCTACACTTGTGATTTGATCATTCGTACTGTCGAGTTCCTTCAGTGTGGATTCGGATTCCTTCCGTCGTGAGTTAAAAAGTGTTAAAAAGACCGAATTGAATGATTTGGGGTGCACAGATCAAGGGTCAACTTCCGTAGTCCAATCGCCTTGACTGTAGCTTCAGTGTGCAATTAAACACACTTTCATTTGTCTGGGAGGGGGCACAATAAAAAACCTTGAGGGAAACTCCCACGTTTACTTGATGCCCAATGTCCTGATAGTGCGCTAAGATTCCACTGTTTTCTGATCCGGCCCGTTCGCTTTGATAGCATGAGCAATGTTTCTTAATACGGGCAGATAGTTGTCTCGTATTTGAGACCAACAAAAATGTTGTTGCACAGAGAATTCGAATTCTTCACTGGTGTGTTCCCAATGATGACGATAATTTGATGAAAACTGTGAATCACAATCCCGACATCATTGGCAAACCACAGTCTATTTATTTGGTTCGCAACCGGAGGCACTAAGAACTTATTATTGCAAATTGACTTCTAAACCTTGATGCTCAGTTATTCCTTCTATTTTACAGCTGGACCACGCAAAGTTAAACACCAATAAAGATAACACATTAGATGCACATGTTTGATGAGTCTTCACAATCGACAACAGCATTTCACAAAAAAGGTATGCGCCATTCAAGAAAACTTTGTATTTACAGTGGACAATATCGGAACGAACTTGAATTACATTGAGTTACGCAGGCTCATCATTAAAATATTAAACAACGTCAAAATCTCAAGTAAGGAAATGAGTAAAATCAGTAAATTGGCCATATTGATTAAGTTTCTTAACTCCTTCAAAGATTCAATAGATTTCCTGCCGGCTGAAGATCGTCGAAGAACAAAATTACGAGTGGCCCAGTCTTTTATTTTGTGATTGTTACTCAATACAAACTTATCCAAACTGACCTATTAGCAAAACCAACCAATTTTTCCCTCACAGCTTAAAGTCTGTGTAACATTCAGCAGTAATATTACCAGAATTAAAACAATGAAATTTTTATAAAATGAAAATATAGGGTGAACGATCGATAATCATTCATCTAAAATGAAATTCCTAATAGATTAAGGAAGTAATCGTTTTTATAAGAGACATGTAACTCGGACAACCTGCGGCGCCAAGTTAGGATGAAATTAATCATTCAATACATGATTTATATCTAGCACGGGGCACAATGCGAGCATACATTTGAGCAGAAATAAAACTCCAGACATTATTAGGTCTGCTTGTAATTCTTGGGTTACCATAACTACAGCTTCGGTAACCAAGCCAAGAATTGGCAATTAGTTAGTAGACTGTGAATGCAGACATACACACACGCACACACGCAATAAAAACAACCGAGCTATTTATGGAATTATCTAATCCATTTCACCTAGCAGAGAGTCTGTATGCAGCTGTTTTCAGTTGCTGAGAATGGGGGAATTTCTGAACTAATCCAATGTGTGCTTGATAATTGTCGGGTACGTCATGGTGGTACAGGAAACGCTGGTAGTTTTAGCATAAGTTAAATCTATTATACAAACCGCCGGATTTTGAACTACGAGTGGAATGAAGTAGTTGCCGTAGTTAACTTATATTAAAGACCGGTGATGTAAGGTTTCTTTATGACATGTATTCAAGAGAAAATACTTGATGTTTTCTCTCAATAGAACAGGCCTTCAGTACACAGTACCAGTGGAGTGATAAAGACAATAAATGATAATTTGGCTGGCAATGGGATATGGAAGAATAGACGAACTCCTAAAACAATGATTCATTCTATAACCGATTGGCACAATAATGTTTGCTGACCAATTGCACTACAAGTAGGCCAACAATGAAAAAAGGGAGCAATAAGTATATCAGAGAATAATGACTTTATTCGAACGAGCTCCTATAATCTTGTATATGGGCAAAGTCACACGAGAGACAGAAGCTTTAAACTTGCGACGTGTGTAAGACAAGTGAATGGAAGAGTAGTAGAATGTGAGCCTATTGGGCCGTGAGGATGAATAATTTTGGCTACTCAACATCCCCCCCCATCCCTTGTCCGAGAAGGTCATGTGCCCCAATCCATTGAACGTTCCTTCTCTTTGTACGACATGGAAGCCTTTTAACTGGTCACTTTCTACTTCCTGAAAACCTTCGCGTTCCGATTATGCTTAGAAAAATAGGCAAGCAAAAGAAAAAAGAGTAAAGGAACACATACCATTATCTATCAAATCACCATATGCAGTCGACTTAAACGCTAGAAAAATTGAAGCCCTCTCAATGTACTATTCAGGTATAAGAAATGCGATTTCTAAGTAAAATTCTATATACCTATTCAAGGCCTGCTTTTGATGATGGTTTGCTTATTAAGTATGCCGATGATGCTGTGCATGGCATGAAGTTTTCGAACTCCTCCGTGTACGTACGCAGGATATTTCACTGCTCACCGACTGGTCTTCACAACACAATCTTAGAATGAATCCTTCCAAGTGTAATGATATTTTATTTTCTTTACTGAAGGGTGACCTCTTGTTAGCATGTCATTATCAATGGCGAACAAGTTTCCAAAGCATGCTCCGTCAAATAACTTGGAGTCACCGTTTTGCGCAATCTTCTTTGGTCTCCTCATGTCATCGAGACATTTCACAAAANACCTCAACTTTTGTATTATTCATTTCAAAATGCTATTTACCCCAACTCACATAATTAAGCGTTTTGTTTTCTCTTGTATCCTTTACCACTGGCTTTATGCATCCCCTGTTATTTTTCCGGGTCTTTTAATCAAAGACTTCAAACTCATACGCACATCCATCAAACACGTATGTCGATACAGCGGTTTAGCTCGTGAGCATGTTGCGCAGCTTATTATTTCATAGCACCTTAGGGCTTGTCAGAAACTTTCTACCAGAATACTACTTGACCCATCTCACCCGCTGTACCCTCAACTTAGTCAATGTATCTCCACATCTAGCACTCGTTCCATGTGTACGCATATAGCAGCACGCATCACAACATACAAGTCTTCTGTAATATCGTAGTAGGCGCGGTTTCTTAATAACACTGATGTTGTCATTGGGTCTCTTAAACAAAATCTTTGCTAAATTTCCATTATTTATTTGAATATGTAGTCTATCATTATCCATTTTTTACCATGCGATTTCCGCAGAAGAAAGATTGTGTATTAGCTGAGTGTTCATCCTGTATGGAGCGAATTAAAGCCACTTCTGGACTTATTTCACTTGAAAATCCATTTCTACGGCATACTCTTATTGAAAACCTTGAAATGCTTTCATAGAAGGAGATTACAGCCAAGCAAGTTTTTTCCTGTATCAAATTTAGCTCAATCTCTCAAAAGCGAGTTTTATAGATCAGTTAGTATCTCACATAATTTACTTCGAATATTGAGGGTTACAGGTGTTGATTGAACTCTTGCAACATAACTCTCATTTCGAAATTACATTTCAGTTTCAAATATACTTGTATATTGATCGCTTTGGATAAAGTGTATTTATTCCTGACTTTATCTCCCACTTGTATGTTCTTAGTTTCTTCTAACATTGTTTGCATTTGCTCTACATGTTGTGACCTGACAAAATTTCTAGTAGTTCGAAAGTTGCTGCTCAGATCTGGAAAATGTTTTATGTGAAGCAGCGTGAAAATTCATTCTTTTTAATGAATGACTCATGTTTCATGAGATAGTTTATTAGGTTGAACACACGTATTCTAAACAGCTTATTTCTCTTCAGTAAATAAGCCAATTAATGAAAACGTCATAGCCTAAATAAGTTGTCAAATTGTTTGACTACAAAGGACATCCACATTATCCCTAATACTGGAGGAATAAGAAATAAATTTCAAGAAACAAAAATGTGTCCCTTGAGGTATGCGACACGCTGAATTAGCGTCTTGTAATGTCAACACACCCAAACTGTAGGAGTCATATTTATTGTCGAATTCATTCGATTACCGCCCAACAGTTGGGATTTGAATACAAACACAAACCTTTCCCGTGATAAGAACAGAGATAAATCATCTACCTTGATAGTGATCGTCTGCGGCACTTAGTGGACAAAACTGGTAACTGATCAACTTGATGGAATCCATGCAAAAGCGGCTGCTTCCAGTGCTCAAAAATGAAGAAGGACAAAGAGAACATGGATCACATAAAAGTACAATACTTGTATGAAGTCCTCGTGCCATTTTGATATGTCAATTTTAATTATGTTTGTTATTTTACAACTGATACACCAGCATCCGTCATAAAAATATAGAGAGAGAAATCGTAAATTTTAATGGCATTTCACTAATAGATGCAAATACATACGTGCATACTATTACAGATATGTTTCGTCTGATGTTGGGCAATGTCGTAAAGAATCCCGTCAATAAGGTTTGGAACACTAGGCGTTGGTAGGAACAAGTGTGATGAAAGTCCGGATTTTGCACGAGCAGGATTAACAACTGTTGGAAATAGTTGAGAAAGATTATAATCATATCCGACAGGACCCCAAAGATTCTATCTCTTGAAAATATTTGTCAAGTCGATTTTGCGATATTTTGTGATGCAAAGTCAAGTTGTTTGTGGAAATCAACTTTTTAAATTCATTAGGACCATTTCATGAACTGAGTTACTCAGTCAGATAAACACCATAGGAGCTATTTTTTCAAACAAAAGACTGGCAGATTACCATTAGTCCATCATAGATATATGCAACCACTTACATAAGTATTGACGAAGTCCCGTCAAAGTGATCATTAGCAAAATGATTAACGTTGTAAACTGATAATTGAGTCGATCCACAGCATCATCGTCTCCAGCCAGGCGAGATGAACCAATCCGAGCCCATCGGACAAGCGTGAGCAGTATAGTGGGATCACTACTTAGCTTGGCATGATGTCGATTGAATGTGCGATCCACATTCGGTGAATGGGCCATAGAGGAGTGTGGAAATCCATACTCGTAACTCTCGTAGAAATACGGTGATCGAAGCACGGGAGCATCATGCATGCCGGAGTAGAAAAATGCTGCATCTAGTTTGGAGCCTTCGGCCTCATACAGACGCTGCAGTATGTGCTCCTCGGTAGACCATTGACAGTCGGATGACGAATGGTCCGACACGTGGGGGCATGGAAACGGGACATCGGTAGCAACCGCTGCTGTATGAACGGCCACACATGGTTCGTTACAACCACATGGATTGGTTAGCTCCACAGGACACATAGGATCGGTAACAATACCGGAGGGAGAAGGCCCTTCAAGGCTCATTCCGGAGTTCAAGATGGTGGACATCTGGAGTTTTCCAGATTGAAACAACTCAGGTGAGATTCAGCTGTCATTGTTTTGACCAAATGCCTAAAAACGTTTTAAAAAAAGTAATATACTGGTAACCCAAGGATGCTATAGCGCGTTACAAAAGAAAAAAAGCATTAGATTCAGAGACAATATATCAAACAGTATTTCAGTTCCACAATGTTCAGCATATATGCAGTTTATATTTGCAGTTTACTTCAATGTCCAGGCGGTTAAGTTTGTCATAATTTCCGCCACTGTTCACCTTTTCTGATTTCCCACAAAGCCCTAACCTCTTAGCAACTACCTTCCGACAACACAGTGACTATACTATTGTACACATACTGCACTGAAAAGAAGTAAAGCTTTATCAATAAATGTTAAAGTATATCATCAGCATGATCATGGTGAAACGGCGCCTTAATGATGATGCACGTGTATTGTTACTGGAATGGGAAAGAGGCATGCTTAACTCATTCATTCATCATTATTTAGGTGTCCATTATTTAACTTTTACGTTTGTAATACATGAAATAAATAAGTACTAAAAGAGCACAAGTTTGTTGCTGAAATATAAAAAATGTAATTCAGTGTTACTCTTTGATTACGATCTTTAAATTTGGTTGATAGTTGAAACGACGAAAGCATTTGATATGCTTTTTCTGTTCCGGACATCATAACTGAGTATTGGATCATTATTTATTAGGTTAAGGTTTACAAAATGATCATACTTCTTACATTATTACTCGATGCCAATGAAAAAGAAATACTCCTTGGGTAAAATGTCAACTACTCCGAGATCACCACATTACGGCAATGTGAATAAACTTAGAATATGAAGTCGATGTTGAATCCGTAAGGTTAATTGGCAATAACAATAAACCGCAATCGCAAAATTATGAAATTCGCTAATCAGATGGGGTATTTACCGACGTCAATAGCGATACAGTTCTCACTTGAGACCGAATAAACCGCTGGATTCCCTTGCGTATTTTGCTGCTTCCCAAAAACCTTCATGGAAACATTTCTTTGGTATAAATATGGTCTTAGAGGCCAAAGCAATTTTTACATTTGAAATATGAGAAAAAGTATTACTTCGTAGAAAATGAGCGGAATAAAACACTACAGCTCAGCAAAAGCATGATACTAAAATTACTATCACTAATGATAATGTTAACAATAAAAGGAATAAAGTTGTGATCCCGAAAATATGCAGTTGCTTGTGAAACATGGTAATTGGAAGACAAACACTCACTTCAAAGATTAGTTGAACCAAATCCAATTCTATTCTGAACGTGAACAAGTTCTTCCAACTTTCCTTGTCTCCTGTGTGTGTTTTAAAACTCACAAAATGCATGCACTGAGGATTAATCCGCAATTTGAACATTGAATCATTTGGTCACACGTACGGTTAGAGTTGAAATACAAAAAAACATGTGGCGTTAAATTTCTATGCGTGTCGATTTACTTGAGTATCATGGTCATAATATTGGTCTCGATGTTGGGAATATTTCCTTACTCCACAAGGCAGCCCGTTGGTCATATGAAGCTGTATACGGGCGTATGAGATGTCGCGTTGCGTGCCGGTTCACATGGGTGTATGCGTGTGTGTGTGTTTGTGTGTGTCGATCTGTTTGTATCTACGTGGCCGTGCGCGTAGGGGAAGCGTCAATTGGGTGCGTTGATTGGAGACGCGTGAACGAAAACTACGACAGCATAAACCAAGTACGGAATGAAGAGCACTGATAGGTGGAAACATTGTTATTGTTGTTGTTGTCGCCTCCACTTTCACTGTTGGTGTAGTTGCCATGGTTGTTGTCGTTGTCGTTGTTGATGGTGTAAGACACGCCTGTCTCTCACCATCGCCGAGCATCAAAGAGGGTGCCACAGTGGACAGTGAGTACGATCAGAAGCCGATAATTGTGTGCCTCCGGTCTAGCTAATGTAAATTCACTTTTTTTCTGTCGCATACATACGAATACTTTGTCCGTCAGTCTCGAAATCTTTGATGGAAAGTTGACACACCTGCATGTGTTTGTGAATGTAAAGCAAATAACCAATGCGCGTGAGCGAGGGAAAACGTGAAACAAACAAATAATATGGAAGAAAAACAGACGGTTTTCCCGAAACATTCAACATTTCAATGTGACAGCTTTGCATTACGGATCAGGAGCTTGCATCGCTCAAGTTCTCCAAGGATATGGGGACCTTTGTCAGGACTCTGAAAAGCATGAATCGCGTACGAATGCATGCACGACCGCTTAATGTTACTATTCACTTGTGATTACTCGCATAGGTTTGCTCCACTAGACAACCATTCATGTCCATGTGCCCCCTAACTGAGGAACTGATATGTGTTAACTTTCCACTGTTCAAGAAACGTAAATAGAAAAATGGAATTTTATTAATTCATCTTAACCTTGTGTAAATAAACCTATATCATGAAAATAAAACTGAAATATTATAAACTATCTGGTAGTTTAACTGAAAAATCTGCAGTTGAAATGATGAACTGATCTGGAAAAAATGCCACCAACACTGTCAAAAAATGTGCTGGGTGTTGCTTATCGGACCAGTGTAGTATGAGCTGCTATACAGTCAATAAAGTGCATGGAGAAAAGCAAAAAAGTGAGATAAATATATGATCCGGAATGAAGTGGGAATTAATGTAATAGATGTAATTCTGGTCTCTAAATGTGAAAGTTCCAATGGTACAGCGGTCTTGTGACTAAACCATAGACGGATGGCTAAAGCAGACTGTGCGTCCTCATAGTCTTATTCTGGTTGTCATTGGTGGAGGTGTAGACACAATACACTGTTCGTTCGGTTGCTGAAAGACCGGGATTACAGAAATCCAGCACCAACGTTTGATTGTTTGCGTGTAGCAAACGGAATGCCTAGTTGACCCTGAAAGTGACTTGTCTCAAGTGAATAATACCTGAATGAAGTCACATTTATAACCTCAATGTAATTGTTCTCATCAGGAAAGCATTCATGAAGGAAACAGATGTCATTTTTGTACAATATAGTTAAGTGACTATCTCCCTGAATCGAGAAAGGTTTATAAAATATATATGAATACAGAATAAAGCACGCGAAAAACGTTACACATCGTCCATGCAATCCTTCAACTTTCACGTTCATTTTAAGGCCCCCGGCACATACAAAACAAACTGTCGTATACAATTAATTTTTCTATCGTTAGTTTACATTTATTTGTTCCTGAAGGGTAGAGCGGAGTTTCCTAACTTTATTCTTTTGAATTCCTTTGGTTTCATTCAACCGTTAACAACAGAAACTTTGCAGTTTAACCATAATGCAGTAGTGCGCTAATCAAATTATAATCTCCTCTATAAACTCAAAATCAGTTTGAAACTTTAGCACTCTCTTTCTTATCAAACCACTACTGTCTTGCTATTACAGGTTTAAAATACTAACAGAAATCATCTCTCAAAAATTGAAAATAACTATTTTCTAACCGAAATACTAATCTATAAGACGTGGGAAATTCCCAGATATTATAAATGTTCCGCGTTAAGAGAACCACTAATCGAGAGGCGAACCATTTCTTTGTTCGCTGTTGCACATGTAAGACGCCGAATTCACTATTCATTCGATTTCAACTATGTATCGGGTTCTGCTCCTCTCGTGAGATGAGTAATACGTGAGCCTCGGTTGTTTCCATGCTTATGTACTAATTATGATGATAGGTAGGATTGTCACAACTGTTTGGGATTAGTCCGGTTGCCCCACAAGATTCGTGCCATGATGCGTAGACAGCGGTGTACAAACACCGACATTCTATCTTTATCCTGTTTTCTTAATGAAAAAGTTAATGCGCCGTATAGCCGAACTGGCCTAATTTTCGCAACGTATACTCGACCCTACATGGACACCTGGATGTCGCGACCGCGCCACAGATGTCTAAAGTTGGCAAATATCAATAGAAACTTCCGCATGCGGGGCGACACTTCATCCATGATGCGTCCACTGAATGAGATATAGATTTCCAAATACCAACCCTCGCCCACTTGCTGTAATACGTCACCAGTAAGAGTGAAGCTGGGTGCTTAAACAGCTTAGTCTTTTAGCAGTATTTAACATTTTAAGGTGTAAAACTCATATCAAAAATAGTTACGCTGACGGTCTGTCACCTACGAGTCAATCGATAGAGTTATCTCAGCACGAAGATACAACTCTTTTCATAATCAAATATATAACAAAATTAAATATAAAACGCGAGAGAAACCAACTTTGACTAACACTGCTTTCTTTGGTGAACTGGACCGAAAATGTGCCGTAAGCTCAGACTTCGCTCCTGCTACTAACATGAAGCAATCTTAATTTTGAAATAAAAATCTCGGACCC